ATATATATATATATACACACACACACATACACACACACATACATAAATATATATATATACACATACACACACACATACATATGAAGAGTTTGGTTCCAAAAAGCTATAAACGCCATTTTAAAAATTTGAGTTTCCACCAAAATCAGTATTGTATCTGGTCGGTATTGACAAATAAATTTTTAATTTTACACAAAATGCGATATCCACCGAGTTATTCTGTCATGTTTTCTCCCTTTCTTTCCAAACCGCGACAAACGCCAGTCTCCCTTCTCTGCAGAATGCAATATATCCGCTCAACCAATCACAGCGCACCATTCTACACACTAGACAGTAATGGTGGCGCTTTGAATACACCCGGCATCCTAGTTTTCCTCATCTATTTTGTACTTTGTGATCAACAAACAAACTTAGGGCTGCACGATAAATCGCATGTGATTTTCATGCACATCTCGTCAGTAAAGCCGGTTCTGTGATTAATAGTAAATCTCCATCACATGCTTTCAGATGGAGCGGCATTTAATACACAGCGCTGTAGATCACGGCTATATCGCGTTCATAATCGCAGATGAGTCACATTCGATTATGAACGCGATATTGCGTAGCTTGTCAGTGTAAGTGTTTTTATTTATGCCATTAATGTTTTTGTTAATACAGCGTATAGCACTAGTCAACTAAATGAATGTAACATGGCAAAGATGAATGCACTTTTGGAAGTTGAATGTAAGGGAAATGTCATTTTGGAATTTCTGTGGTTTAATGTGATATTGTTGTTCATGTATGTTCATGATGAAATTTTCTTTTATTGTTGTAATTAATTTGTAGCAATAACAAGATGACCCATTGAATTCATTTTGGGAGCAATGACTGATTGAATGTATTTTTAGTCCAGTGCCTGTATATAAGATTAGTATATTTTTAGTCCAGTGCCTGTATATAAGATTAGTATTGACGAAGTCCAGTGCCTGTATATAAGATTAGTATATTTTTAGTCCAGTGCCTGTATATAAGATTAGTATATTTTTAGTCCAGTGCCTGTATATAAGATTAGTATTGACCAAGTTCAGAGGCTGTCATATGTGGATCAACTTACTATGTTTTGTGTATTTTCAACAGTTTCAATATGAAAAATAACTTTTATATTGATTCAATGGATTTATTGCATTTTGAAGAAAAAAAAGTGTCATGGATTTATTGCATTTTGGGACATTTTTTAATTTTATAATAAATCTTTGAACTCTAAATAGTGTTCTGTGCTCGTCTATGCAGCCAACGACAGAACAGTTAGCATGTTTTGCTCAAACTTTCGCCATGGCATTAGAGCTGGTAAACCGTTGTCGCTTGCAAAATCAAAATGTCGGTGCCTTGAGTGGAAGTTTATAGATTAAAGGGCGGTAATATTATAATGAGATCACTTTGCACGTCACCAAGGGAGCGAAATCAGGACGCTTGGTTTCTCAGACGCTTGCAGAAAAACGGTAATATTATAATGAGATCACTTTGCACGTCACCAAGGGAGCGAAATCAGATGCGCTCGTTTTCTCAGACGCTTGCAGAAAAAGGCTTCCCAAAACAAAGTGATTGGGTTAATCTTTTTCACGTTTCCTTGGTTGGTAGATGCACCAGGGACCTGATTATAGCACTTAAAACCTGGAAAAGTCAGATTTTCATGATGTGTCACCTTTATGACCAAAGGGGTCATATGGTGCTTTTTTAAAGATCATTATTTGGTGTATTTGGTGTAACAGAATATGTTGACATGCTTTAATGTTAAAAAAAACCATTATTTTTCAAATACTGTACATTATTGTAGGTCCTCTATGCCCCGCCTCTCTCAAATGCTTCGTTTTCTACAAAGTCCCTCCTTCCGACAAGCGCAGTCTGCTCTGATTGAACACCGCAAGCACTCGTCGGAAATGTAACGCCCCTTACCATAATCGCGAGCTTCATCTTTCAAAATAAATGTAAAGACGGAGCCCGAAAGGGGAACAGAGTCTCGTGACAGACACAGTGATGAATATGTGTTTGCAGTACACAAGACACGGTTAAGACAGCTGACTCCACTGTGATGTGTCTAGCGCTCTCTCTCTCGCACACACACGATGCGCAAAACTTGCATTTGAACAGTCAATAGCAAATACTTAAACTAATTAACAAAACAGTAGCTGATTCAGAAGCGCCAGATTGTCATAGCAAAGTCAGAATTACCTCCTCTCCTAGGTTCACGAAACGGTCGTCCATAAAATGCATTTTATATTTCATAAAGTGCTTTTGCACTGAATCACACAGCGTCTCCCTGACATGGCTGCTTCAA